GGTATTTTTCATGCTATCATTAAAAAGATAAAATAGCTGAGCTGAATTAACCCATTTAGGAATGTATGTCTTCCCAAGGGGAACTACTACCTTAATGCTCATAGCCGACCTTACTGCCCTATACAATTAGACCTGGGATCAAAAAACATGTTATTGCATTTATCAGTGAGCTACATGGCTTAAAGAAAATTTAATTACCCACTAAAAAAATGAGCTTTTGGGGGCAAATAACCTGTTTTGTAGCAAAATTCTTGCATGTATTTTTTTTAATTTGTAAAAGATTTATTTATTTATGCATACAGAACTGGGGTACAGGCCAGAGGTGTGGGGGTTGAGATGATTTACCAGAGACAGGGGGGAGCAGAACAGGCAGATTGACTGAAATATACTGCTGAGGGGAGCAGCAAGCAGGTCAGGAGAGGCCATATAGTTTACCTCCTTGGCCAGGGATTGAACTCATGCTGTAGTGGCTGTAGCTAGCCCCACAGTGCTGTGCTTCAACCCACTGCGCCACCAGGGAGGGCCCAAGACAGTGGGGTTTTAAATCCCAGCTCTAATACAATGACTTGAATTATTGCATGTGAAGTTATCAATTAAAGTTGTATATATTAGAAATTAAAAAAATATATAAATCCCAGCTTTATAGCTTACATCAAAAATTCACTTCAGATACTCACATAAAAATAGGTAATATTTTAATAAGTATGAAGTGTTTCTAAGTGTAAAGTCCTTGGTACACAGCAGATGCTCCATATCTGGGCCCCTCCCTGTTAGCACAAAGGGTTAAATGCAGCACCCTGAAGCTATCCCCAGCCAGGGAGCTGACCCACATGGTGCCCCAGGCCTCCCCTGTTGAGTCTGCTGCTCCCCTCAGCAGTGTGTTTCAGTATATCTGCCTGTTCTGCTCCCCACTCTGTCTCTGGTGAATCCTCTCATCATCCCTGAAGCTCTGTTCTGTACCCCAGCTCTGTATGCATAAATAAATAAATCTTTAATGTGTTATTATTTATCATTATAGGGGTGTTAGTGTGACCATGGTTGCAAATATTATTACTGAACATTATGTATGCGTCTTTTGGTTCTGTCTTTTTAAAAAGAATAACAGACCTTTCTTTGATCTCACCAATTATGCGACAAAGTGGGTTCTCACCACTATGAGAACATTTAGTTTTTGTAAATATTTTTTTATTGTTAGTTTTGTTGGGGAAGCAGAAGGTCCTGAATGACTCCTGCCTGGGAGTTGCCTTGTAACAATTTCACCTCATAAGATGTCTAGTAGCAAATAGTATTTGACCAACTTTTTATTAATGTTGTGACAGCTTTAAATAGGTAGTGTAAAGAAAGTGAAAATGACCTTGATCCCCCAAATGAGAAAGAACTTGGAGGAGTGAACATGGGTAGAGTGTGGTGAGTAAACTTTGCTGGAAAGCCTTTATATCTATGAGGACACAGATAACCAGAAACTTGTGTACAGAATTTTAATGGATTTCCTTTTGTATAACACTAAGCAATATCATCTTTATATGATGGAATCATATAGAGTCAAACGTATCACTTTAGAAGGGGATAGTGATAACTGGGGAGGGTATGCATATATTAGGGGCATTTGGGAAATCTGTATACTTTTCTCAATTTTGCTGTCAACCTAAAACTGCTCTAAGAGTTTTTTCAAAAAAAAAAAAAATAGAAGAAAGCAAAATAGGAGAGAGGTAAGGAAAGATAAGAATTTTGCAAAGGAGTTACCCTCTTGTTTATCTGCATAGTATTATGGAATGAAAATAGCCAGGACCAGATCAGGTGACTGGCTGCCTTCAGCAGATTACCTCACTTTCCTGGATCTCAATTTTACAAAGAGTAGTAGTTTTGAGGTTTTGAGTATAAATTTCTCATCTTTTCAGGATAAATTTATGTTTGGGATAAGAGAATGAAGAACACCTGAAGAAAAAATGGCATTAGAAAGAAAAAGACCCTTAAGGTAACGTTGCGAATACAGTGGAGGGTCAACAATATAATCACTCTGACCTGGGGATGTTAAATAATGCGTCACGTTGGTTTATTTTACTGAGTGATAACTGGAAAGATGATCTGGGTGGCTTTGATGTGTTCTTTTGAATTTATCTTCTGGGGTCCTTCTTCTCCTTCTCTGGATATTAACCACCATCCTCCAGGAGTGATTTGGGGGTAGTTGAAGGGTTCCACTACTACTCAAATCACCTTATTTCCCAAGACTGTCTTTAATTTTGGTGAATAAGGAAGCACTTGGCTGCCATTTCCTTTCTGGGAACTGCTGAGTTACTAGGGAAGGAAGTAGAAGCTGCTCAGATGAGTTCAGTCCCATGGGGGACAGGGCAGGGCTGTCCTACTCTGAGCATTAGCTTCTGTTTTTGTGGGGATTGGTTTCCTATTTGTCTGGTTCTTGTTTATAAAAATTAAAAACATAATAATGTGTGCAGTCATTTCTTAGACCCCTCTTGGGAAAAATGACTGACCGTGCAGGTTGTAGTTAATTTTCTTTACCTAAATTCTTGGTCACAAGTTTGCTAAATGTTGTTAGTTGGTTTTCCTGTCTATTATTCATCTTTTAAAAATCTTGCCAAACTTTTAGAAAAAGTGGGCCTGATTTAATTTTGCTTCTGTAATAATGTTTTGGGTGTGTTGAAGTCCCTAACTTTGAAGAAAATACAGCTGAAGCCTCAAATCCTGTCAGATAAATATGGTAGAGTCAGTGCTTCTGATGTGGTTTGGGTTCTTGGAAGTCATGAGACTGGATGTGGTTCTGTTATTAACTGACATGTTCAATCATTTGTTTTATTTGATGCTGAAATCATGCTTATTTTATATCGCTTTCTAACATTATATCAGTGTATTTGGTACTCTGAATCTTATTTGTCCAAGATGAAAAAAAGCTTTTGTTTCCTTAAGAAAGCTTAACTCTCTTGCTAGTATTGTGATCATTTTTGAAACTGATTTCTAGGTTTGTATTATGGCTTTGCTGCTTATTTTCAGATGTTGGCAAGTGATGATTGATCTAAAAATATTCAGAAAGAATTGAAGAAAAATTAGGGCTTCTGCCATGCAAATTCTGTCTTCTCTTGCGTTTATATTACCATTACAAACAGTTAATTACATGATTCTTTAAAGCCCTACACATATATTTTACTAATACTTTATTTTTATTTTGGACTCATTTTCGTTTTTGACTCATAATCCCACCATTGCAACTTATGTCTAAAAATCACCTTTAGGCTGACAGACTCAGGGTAAAGATTGCCTAATTCAAAATCCAGTTTGGTTATTTTTTAGCTGTGTCCTCTGCTGTTTCTTTATTTGTAAAATGGGCTTAGAATTAACAGTCACAACATAAGATGGATGAGAGAAGTGATCACACCTTAAGCTGTTTTTTCTTTTCTTTAGTAATAGGAAATAGGTGAGGAGAAATATTTATTGAGAATCTATTTACTAGGCACAAAAGGGACTGTCAACCCCATGTAATCTGTAAGGCTGACATCCTCATTTTTCAGATGATTCAGTTATGACTGGAAAGAATAACCAACTGTCCTAAAGGTCACACAGCTGGTAAGTAATAGTCCAAGTTTGTTTCTAAAGCACATACCCTTTCACTACACTATGTAAAGAAAACTACTCCTTCCCCACCCCCCTCCACTGTAATGGCTCAGGACTTCCTACTGTTAAGAGTGATTTTTTTTTTTGGATGTATAAAAAGAAGTGTGTAGCTTGGTAGCTCAGAAAAAGATATGGTGGAAACTGAAATACATATACTGTGACGTGAGAGAAGCCAACCTGAAAATGCTACATACCAACCATATGACATTCTGGTAAGGTCAAAACTATGGAGACAATAAAAAAGAGCAGTTGTAGGGAGTTGGGGGGTGGATACAGGAGGATGGACAGGTGAAACATAGACTTTAAAGCCAGAAAAGTACTCTGTGGGATATTATAATGTTTAACATATTCGTCCAAACCCATAAAAAACACGACATCAAGAGAGAAAGACTGCTAAGGCCAGCTGAGGACTTTGGGAGATAATGTGCTCGTATAGAGTCAGCGATGGCATCACTACCCAACTTACCCTCCGGAAGGCCGTAGAGATAAATGGGGAGGCTGCACATACGTAAGGGGTATATGGGAAATCTCTGAACACTCTTCTCAGTCTTGCTGTCAACCTAAAAGTACTCTAAGACTTTTTTAAAAAAGAAAACAAGCCTAGAGAAAAGCAAAATAGGAGAGAGGGAAGGAAAAATAAGATTTTTGCAAAGGAGTTACCCTCTTGTTTATCTGTATAGTATGGAGTGTAAATAGCCAGGACCAGATCAGGTGGCTTGACTTCCTGCCTGCTCATAAGTTGCTGGGTGACCTTCAGTGGACTACTTCATCTTTCTGGATCCCAAATTTAAATATGCTTAAATCGATGCAGTTGATCTTCAAGCTCCTTCTGGTATTATAATTCCAGCCTTGCAGCTAAGAATCTACCCCTGCCTCTGTTTTTCCAACCAGTCATCCTAACTTGAATCCTGTACTTATTCAACAAAACACTTTCTAAAGTACCCTCTGGATTATAAATACAGCAATCGTTTCCCGTGACCATGGGGCTAGAATAGGTGTAGACGAGTGACCTCTGAGAGCGAAAAAAAAGCAAGATACCCCTGAAGCTCAAAAGTAAGTAGAAGCCAGCTAAAGGAAACATAGGCAGGGCAAAGCGGACGCAGCGAAGGGCTACGAATGCGGAAATGAGAGGAGGGCGGAAGACAGAGGCGGGCGGGGTGGGGCCGAGAGCCGATTGGAAGATGGGGGGGCGGGGCCGGCTCTGACAGCTGGGCAGAAATGACGGAGGCTGCGCCGGCGTCGCGGTTGGGTTCCGGCTCCTCCGCTTCCCCTCTCCTGCGCCTGGGGGCGGGGCGACGGGCGTGCCTACGCCACGTGATGTCATAAGGGGCGGAACAGTCAGGGCGTCCAACCGGCGCGCGGGCGCCTTCGGCAGTCGCTGTTTGGGACGCTGGGCGCGTGGTTGCTGGGTCTGCACTCCGGGTTCGCTGTCACCGCCTGTCTCTTCCCGGAGCCCGGGACGGACTGGGCGCGCGCCCATGTGTGTGTGAGCGGGACAGAGGCGTCCCCTCGCTTGCGTTTTTTTCTTCCTTTTACCTAGAGAAGGGAGCAGTTCGCACGCTAGCCCCCCTGTCGCCCCGTTGGGAGCGGGGTTGGTGTGCGGAGTGGTTCGTCTTTTTTTTTCTTTTAAACTTGTGAGCTCTTTTTTACCCCCTTTTTTCAGGCTCAGTATACTCTGGGCTGATTTTCTCGGTCCCCGGCTAACCGCGTTCTGCCCCTTCTCTCGCCACCCCCGTCCAAGGTCGCCCCTCCGCCCTCGCCCCTAGCCTGGGAGGGTGGGAAGCTTTGTCCCGCTCCCTGCCCACCCGAGTCTGCTGCCGTAGCCGCACCTGCCTCAAAATGAATGGGGTCAACGACCCACCTCTTTTTATAAAAGATATTAAGCCCGGACTGAAAAACTTAAATGTCGTCTTTATTGTCTTGGAGATAGGTAAGTGGGGTCCGCAGCCCACCCCGCCGCTCCTGTGCGTCCGGGGCAAGGGAGAAGGGCGCCGCCGCGAGCCGGGGACTGCCCTCTCCCTCCGCTCCGCTTCCTTCCCTCTCCCTTCTCCCTTCCACGTGGCCTTGGTGGCCCCCACCAGAGCTCGGATCCTGGTGGCGGTGAGAATCTGGGGCGACCACTTTCCACCTCTAACTTGGTTTAGGATCCCGGAGGAAGAGTTCGGAAACCTTTCTGGAGGTCCTCGTTACTAATATACTCCCTCCCCCCTTTTGATTTTTAAATCCCCACAGGACGCGTGACCAAAACCAAAGACGGCCATGAAGTGAGATCATGCAAAGTAGCAGATAAAACGGGCAGCATCACTATTTCCGTGTGGGATGAAATCGGAGGTCTTATACAGCCAGGGGATATTATTCGATTGACCAGAGGGTAGGTGTGCATAAAAGCGGGGGGGTGGGGTGAGATGGGGGGTGGGAGAGTGCAAGGGAAATGAGCCATTTGTGGGTTCAGAATTGGTTCACTTGGGACCTTGGTGGCTGTGAGGCTTCATGTCTTTTCTGTGGGCCTTTTCCAAGGAAGTTTGAGTCCCTTAGGTGCTAACTTTGGGTAGTGGGGCCGCCTTGTGATGTAACACCCTTGCCTTTAAAAGCAATCAACTGTCAGTCAGGAGTATTAACCATCCCATTATTTCCACTTTACACATTTGGTATAAGGTCCTTTGATTGTTGAGTCTTTTCAATGAATTGATAAGATTAACATAGTCCTTTATCTTTTGAATAAGTCATTTAATTTAATACAGTTGCCATTAGTTCTTTTCCAACCCTCCCCCTCCTTTAATACTGAAAATCCTATCCTGTGTATATTTGTATTTATTTTATCTATAGAAGATTTAGTTGCAGAATTTGGCAGTTTCTGTGGTATGTCAAATTTACACTGAGATGTCAGAAGGGGGGGAAGTTACAGTATTTGGAAGGCACATTCTCGAAAATGATTTCTTGTGCCTACTGCTGTAAGGTCATCGCTGTACAAAAACCAAAATGATATGCAGAAAGCGTTTGGCAGAAAGACATATGTGATAGCTCTATGCGAAGAGTCAGTTGGCAGATTGGCTTAAAAATAATTCAGTGACACCTTTTTTTGGGTTAATTAGACTGCCTTGGAAAATTTACGAAATTGTAGGAAAAGACCAAATAAGGGTCTTGAAAATATTTTGGAAGCTTTTTTGTCATTAAAATTATAATAAACTTAATGGTCATAACTACGGGAAAAGTGGGTGGAGATTGGCGTTAGGATAGTAAATAGGATCTTAGAGAGGTGTTGGATGACCCTGCATATAGGAGCTCTGAACCCTTTGGCAATATCTTACAGGCCTTACAACATCTTCAGGAAGTGAGGCAGAGTATCATCAAAGAAGGAAGTGAGAGTCAGGACTTAGACATTTTTTTCTCATATACTGACTCACTATGACATTGTGTTTTTTAAATATATCTTGAATTTATTCAAAAGATCATTTCTACTGGGGAATGGTGTGGTGAAGATTAGCATAAGGCTTTTTGGCTATCAAAATATTTTTTATTCAGTGATTAAAAGTATTGTAAGTAGTATTTCAATTCTGTCTTGTAGTCGGGAAATTCATAGGTATGTCCATTAAATTGTGAAAAACTCAAGTCAAAGGCCATGTAATTCCTATAGCATCTTAAGGAATACAGTCACCAAGGGGGAACAATTTAAAGGAATAGTCAAAAAAAACCTCTTTATTTCTTAATTTTAGTGAATTATTACACTTCAATCTCTGTAAAATGGGAATGATTATACATTCCTTACATACCCATTGGCATCTGGCCATTGTAAGCCCCTTAAATTCTGGTTTAATCTAAAAGAAAACCTTCAGGAGAAAGGCATATAATCTGAATAATGGTAATCTGAGTATTGACATGTTAAGAAAACATCATACTTCTGAAATAAGTGAAAGTTATATCTTATTGTTGTAATTATTATATCATTAATAGTTACTGTAGTGAGATAAATTATTAATGCAGTGTATTTTAAGTCACTTTAACATAGTGGTGAGTGGAGTTTTTAATTAAATACTCTTACTAAATGAAGAGAAATTTACAGTGTGGAACTAGCTAGTTTTGATTGACCTGTATTGAGTGATCAACTATAAGTATACTACATTAAATACTTGTTATAATGTACCTTTCTATGTCTTACTACAATAGTAACTGTACAAAGAACTACTAAAAACTAAACTTTTGCCTAATTTTATATTTATGGTATTGATTTGCATTTCTCAGATTTGTGTGTAGGATTGTTTTTGTAATGATGTATGCATTCCAAATTATTCAGAGTAAACAATTTCCAACCAGCTTGGTGCTAAAAATTGAAAATTTGGAAAGGCAGATAGGTGAAATATTTGTGATCTTGGTGTTTTTTTTTAATCCCTTAATTGAATTGTACTAAAATTTAGCTTGGGAACCCTATGCTTTTTATGGCTACAAAGGAAAAATTAACATCAGTTTCTGACTAGAAAGTAAATGAGTCCAAAAGTAAGTACCAGGATATTGATTTTATATGTTATGGCAAAAAAATAATTTGTACTTAAATCTTTGCAGTTGAAATTTCTTCCTTTGCTAATTAATAAAAGATTCTTTGGAGTATAGCAGTGCTGCTGGCTTTGCAAAAAGACTTTTTCTGTTTTCCAGGGTTTGAATTTAGATAATTGTCAAGATTTGGAAGATTTTGTTTTTTCTTAGTTAATTAATTTTATATACTGTGATAGACAGTGGATTTGATTCCCACCTGTACCCCAATGCAAAAGATGTAAAAAGATTTATTTGATTGAAGTAGTAAAAAAAATGTATATATTTCTACAGGACTCAAGTTTTTTTTTCCCCTAGGTATGCATCTATGTGGAAAGGATGCCTCACACTTTATACTGGAAGAGGTGGTGAACTTCAGAAAATTGGGGAGTAAGTATTAAAATGCATTTGATATAACTGAGTAAATCAAAATGCTATCTAAGAATACAGGTGGGTCTAAACTGAATGTCTTGGTTTTTATTTTTTGTACTGGTAAACAATGTCTCCAGCAGCCTAACTGTAAAAATAACTTTACATGTTTGTATTAGTGTAACAGTTCTCAAAACTGTTTCCTTTAGCTGAGAATGTCATTTTTTTCCTGGGAAAAAGCATTAAAACTGCTGTTGAGATAGGCCCCAGTGGGACCATTTCTGTAGGCTCCGGGAAAGCGGCATCTTTCAGGTGTCACAAGTGCTATTTGGACTAGGTTCGGCCTTCCAGTGAATTGCCAAATTAGGACTGAGGTGCAGTTTCAGGTCATAAGTTTCAATTTTCTTTTCTCTGTTTATCTGTGGGTATGTACTCATGGTAAAAGGACATAAAGCAATGAAAATAGAAGTCCTGTATTTACTCACAGTCTACGAACCATGCAGGCATTCGTCTTCCATGCTAGCCTAGACCCATGGGGTGTATTCATACAGTGAATCAAGTCATTAGTCCATTCTCTCTTGTTAGTGCTTACACATCTATTTTATAATTTTTTTTTAAGGATTTGTTTTTATTTATGCATACAAGAACTGGGGTGTAAAGCCAGAGTTGGGGGTGGGGTGGGGTGAGAGGATTCACCAGACACAGTGGGAAGCAAAACAGACAGATTGACTGAAATACATTGCTGAGAGGAGTAGCAGGCGGGACAGGAGAGGCCTTCTATACCATGTGGGTCACCTACATGGCCGGAGAGCATAATGCTGAGACTTAACCCATTACACCACCAGGGAGGCCCTTAAGCATCTATTTTAATGCCCATCAAGTTGGAGGATATTTATAAAGAGAGAGGTTTAGGAGTGAGAGTAGTATTTGATATAAGGAAGATATGTATAAAGTTTTGAAGACCTGTGTTCAAATCCTACCTCCTCATAATGACTGAGGCAAAGGAGAGAAGCTACAAATGGCCTCCCCAGAAGGGAAAATGCTATTCCATACTGCCTGAGAAATAATACTGTGGAAAAAGTAAGCACTTAACTCGCTTTTAAAGATAACCAGTAGCACTTTGCCTTCACTAGGACAGTTGGAATGTTTGTATTTACAATAATATCAATGAGCAACATGTTATCTTAACATCAATAATTATCAAACTAGGATTCCGTCTCATCCTTCGTTTAAAGAGTTAATAAAAATTGTGGTCAGTTATGTGGAGAACACTGGAGCTTATCTAGTGCTTTTATAATTTTCCTTTGTCAGGATCAGTCTAGGATTTACCAAAGTTGGTTCTGGTTTCTTACTTGAGGTGAGGGCTTTAAGAAATTGCATATGTGTAATGTTATATACATACACCGGTCAACTTAAAAGAAGCATTGGGATGAATTTTCTTGATCGCCAGTTGTCTTTATTCATGCTTATAGAATCACTCTTAACTTTAAATGATTATCTTTGCAGATTCACAATGATTGGTCAAAAGAGGGACTGGATGAAAATGTGGGAATGGGTCAGTGCAAATCCCTCTCCACTGCTGGAAAAACCACTCTGGAACCCTAAACATGGTTCAGTGGCATCAATCTTTAAGGGGAAATAAGACAATGTCCTTGATATTTCAAATGGTTTCTTTTTGCAGTACACAGAACTCAAATACCAAACTAGAATGTTTTTTATATTTTAGGCCATCAGATACTTCGTGTCTGTGGTAATTTGTTGTAAATAAATAGCATGTTGTAAATAAGTAGTTAGCATGTTGCTTTTTAAGTTTATTCAACATCTAAATTATTCATTCCTCTAAGTTATGGACTTGTATTTAAAAAGTGGGGGCAGATTGCTTTGTTTCAAAAGTCATTTAGCTTGTCCTTTACTTTCTTTCAGGTTTTGTATGGTTTATTCAGAAGTGCCAAATTTTAGTGAACCCAACCCAGATTATCGAGGACAACAGAACAAAGGGGTAATTAATACAAATGTGTAGTCTATTTGTATGATTAGTGTGATTTTGACTGTGTATTATAACTTTATGGCTAAAGGCCAATCCTGTGATACCCAGAATATATGAAGACAATTTTAAAAGGCCTTTCAAATATATATTAAATGTGTGCCATTTAGCACTTACAAGGAATTGGAAGTAATGTCAAGAAATAGATCTAATAAGCCTTGAAAGATTTGAGAAACATTCCTGAATATTTTAGCATTGAAAGGACTTAGATAAATATTTGTAAATTTGTTTTAAAAACTTACAGATACAAAAATGTTGATATAATGTAAAAATGGTTTTTTAAAAAATCTTTGATTATATTAAAAATTTTTTTTTCAGGCACACAGTGAACAGAAGAATAATTCCATGAATAGTAATATGGGTACAGGTACATTTGGATCAGTGGGTAAGATTTTCCCCTATATTTATGATCCAGTGTAAGAGACAAGGGAATATAGCATAATGAAAGATTTTGAGGAAACTTTTTGTGTTAAGTAGGAAATATATTACATTTCTGTAATATAGTGATTATAATAGATGCAGGTTTACTAGTTATTTGGTGTACTAGAGCCTTATATTTTTAGATCTTTTGTTTTTTAGATGTTTAGTTCAACTTAATTTTTCACATGCTGATTATTGCCTTTTAAAAGGATAGCCTTTGCCCAAAATTCTCAAACAGCATGTTAATGGTTCTTGCCACCGTGTTATAGGTCTTTTGGAATCTTTGTTCTTAAATAATAGAAAAAGTTGTTTGTGATCAAGTTTATTAGGGTAGCTGAAGTTTTATTTATTTTGGCTTGATCTGATGACCATTCTATTGTGTGAGACTTGATATCTTTTTCAAAAAGTTAGAATTACTTTATCTGTTAATACTAATAAATGTATTTGAGCCAAATGTTAGTACTCATACAGTGTATCCCCTACACTTTCTCTTCTGCTGATTTCTAATTTGTTGTCTAAGTTGATGTTTTTACTATTGACAACATCAAGTTAAAACATTCACACATTTTGAAAAACCTAGAACCCACATAGTTTTTCTAGTAATTAAAAATAAAGACATTTGTTTTCTCTGACATTACCTGAAAGCATTAGTAGCAGTGTTATAACTTTTAAGTAGGTGTACTTTCATAGATCAGTGTCTGAAAATATTGATGAATTTTTATATTCTTTTTTAGGAAATGGGGTGCAAACTGGCCCAGAATCAAGGGGATGTCAATTTTCATATGCTGGTAGAAGCAGTGGCCGGGGATCTGTAAATCCACAACTACCAGGAGCAACTAATAGTCAAACAGTCATGACCACAATAAGTAATGGCAGGGACCCTCGGAGAGCCTTTAAAAGATGATCTATGCCAAATACGCACATGTAGTTTCTAAACTACGTGACTTACTTGAACACTTACTGCACTTTTATTTATTGTTAACTGTGAAAACTATGTCCATTATTGGTTTTCTTTATGTTTTTGGTTTGTTAAGAGGAGTGGTTTGTTTTTATAGCAAAACTGTAAAGCTGCTCAAGTCTTCTTTTGAAGAATGGGAACACTTTGAAAAGTAGGGGCATTTATTTTTAGAGGAAAAGCTTTTTGGATATCCTCTAAAATACCTGTACCCGTTTCATGGGTCAGTTACTAAGACATCAACATTTAGCCTCTATGAGTCTATCTTCTGTATAAATTTTGTAATACTTAAAATAAGGCTTAGCAGGAGATGTTCTTTTCTTAAATTCAGATTTTGCCAACTAAAGCAATAACCACTGGGGTGGGGGGCTTGGGACCACTCCAAACTTGGTCAGTGCTAACAGCAATTTCTTTTGAGTGTTTGTGACTCCAGGAATGTTTGTATTGTTTGTTGAGTAACTGCCATTAGGAATTTTCAAGGACTGAATGAATAATTCTAAAATTATTTTATTACCAAAAAACAAACATACGAATTATGGAATAGAATGTGATCTTTACTGTAACAAATAATTTTTAGGAGAAAACTACATTTATTTTAGGGTAGTGCTCTTAACATTTGTTGTCATTTTTGTGCATTACGTTTAAATGAAAGGAAGAAAAAACTGAGGCCTTGAATATTTATTTTTGAAATAATTATCATGTCAAATATAAAGTATCTGTATCTCAAGGGTTGTGTAAAGTCTTGATAAATAGTGGTTTAATTATTTAAAGAAATCGTGGTAGATAAACACTGTAAAGGAAATTATGTAATTAATACACAGCCTTAAGTTATAGGGTCTTAGGTATTTACAGATACTCAGCCTGGAGTATGACAATCTAGGTAGTTAATTTATTTGTAATGTGTGATGTCAGAGTTTCTGAACACAATTCACTAAGCCTTATCAGCAAAACTTGAGAAATGGCTCTCTCAAAGAAGTGAGTACAGCTTTATTCAGATAGGTGTAGGTATTTTATGTGTGTAAATGAGACCCGGTTCCACTTTTTACTGTAAGGTGGATAACAAGTAAGTTTTTTTCTTTGTTAAAAGTTCAATATTTCAACATTATCTCTTGAATAAAACTTGGCATTAATATTACAGATCTAGTTAATTTTGCTCCTTTTATGGCCTACAATGTAGAGCCAGTATCTAACTATAGCTATGATGACGACTTCAGCCTGATAACTGTTAAACTCTGTATTTGCCACTTTGTCTTTTTCCCCCACCTTAAATCACAAAGTAATTTAAGTAGACTTTGTTTTCTGAATACACAGAGAATGTGTGTAAAAATTTGTGCCAGATTGTTTGCTTTAATTAAGTATCTAAAGGAACAGTCCAGCAATGAGTTAGGCGTTTGTGTAGAGTGTTAAGGGGCAGATGGAAAATCATTGATCTCAGGGAGCTTGCTTACAGTCTACAGTACTTTGGTTACTGCAGTTTGTATATTACAGGAAAAAAGCCTTTTCCTTTATTAGTTTATTGATACAGTTTGCTGTTTGACCAATATTTTCCTAAAGTTTTCACAAGGTAACAGAATTTAGAGTAAAAAAAGTGTGTGTATGTCTACACACACTTAAATCTTTTTTCTAAATTTTTTTTATTTTAAAATAGTACACATTTAAATCTTAAGTTGAGGTAGCAGCTACAGCATTAAGGTATTTGGGAGAATATAGTATTGAAGATTTTCAAGGAAACAAGTTTGGAGGTTTGGAATATTGTCCATAAATATTGTCCAGTGTGTGTGTCTGATCTTTGAATCCTGGCCTCATATCCTCACCTTCTGGCAAGTTATTACACTTGAAACTTTTCTAAGCCTCAGGTTCCACAATTATAAGAACAAGTAAGTACTGTAACCTCTTTGTTCAGTTATTTAAGATCTTCCATGTAAGTGATCAGATTTCTGGCATGTTATAAACAGACAAATGTTTATTGTCTAACTATACAAGTAAAGAAAATGGCAGGGTTAGTGTTGGAAATAATGTTATCCTTTAACATTCTGAGATCAAATAGAGAAAGACTTGAGCGTTTACTTATGGAATGATATTTGCCTCAGTAATTTAACTTTGTTGTTCTGTGTTCTTTGTCATTTATTAACAGATTTCTTTTTTCTTAAGGGAAGTCTCCAAAACCAAAGCAAAATGAGTTACAATCCATAGTGAATATTTGCCTTACCAGTCTGCTTGGACAGTACTCATCATGAAGTTAAGAGGAAGAAAGTTTCCTACCTTCCTCCTTCCTGGTGCTTTCAGCTGTCAACTTTGAAATAAGTTTAAACACCTACAGCAAGCAAAAGCCATTTAGTATAGAACTGCACACTCCTATGATTGGGCCCCATTTCATTTCTGCAAAACAGTTCTGAAGTGAATTGAAGTTGATCATCGAGGTTGCCCTCCTGTATGGGCAGTTTCTTGAGGGAGTTGCTACAGTACCAAAATGGAGACAGGAAATCCGTAAGGCCAGATGATGATATGTAGTAGTGAAAACTGGAGTATGGTTCCCATAGCATTTAAACAGGTTTTATAGTATACCAATCTATTGTGTTCTTCCTGTAGTTTTAGCAATTAAATTTGAGAGCAGTTTATTGGGGAGACCCTAAGTATTTACAATACTGGGTATCTGTCAGGTATTTTTATCATGTAACATTTGAAAATAATTTGCAGGGTTGTTTGCTTAGTGAATGGTGCTAAAAACAAATGTGAAGTTAGTGAAAAATTAGGGTTATAATGGATAGGAAAATGTTTAATGTATAGGAAGGTGGTTAGCTGGTCTTAAACGTTTTTTTGTCCAGAAGGTATAAAATGTGTGAGCATCATGGTCAGTGTGATGACCAGGGCAGTTAATTTATTAATAGGTCTGGCATTCCAGATTAGTTACTGAAATGACATCCTTTTTCTGATATCATTATAGTAAGGTCTGTTTGTTCCAAGCTGCTTACAAACATTTTCTCTAATGTGCTTGGAATGGTTTTGGAGGCAAAACCTGTAAACTGAGAACAGGACAAGCATGGAACTCTTCCAAAATATTCTCCTTTTTCCCTCTAGTTTTATTCTTGGGATTATTTGCCCTAAAATGGCTTTTAGAATAACTCTTTGAGTTATTCCCTATAGTGAGAGTCTCAACATTTCTAGTAGAGGAGGTCACAGTTACATGACAGGTAAAAGGCATAGTGTACTTCACCCTGGTGAACATCTGAACATTGAGGTTCCATGCAAGGATTAGATATTGAGGTAATTGGTCCTACATTTTACAGAGTACTTCATATGTTGAACAGTTAATGTATGCTTCTGAAGAAATCTCCCTGTGATTGGAAAACTGCACTGTCATAAGTTGTATGTCAGACCCTTGGAGAAGCCAGAGAAACAATTTACTTTGCAAGTATATTCAGATTTTCTCCATATTTCTTGAAAGTTTCTTTTGTAGGCTTCAGTAAGTTTGTGTTGAAATACTGTAGCCAAATTACAACAGGTTTCTGAGCAAAAAAGGTATAATGTTTCTCAAACAACACAGGTTAAGGCAAAAGAAAAATTAAGTCCCTAAAAAAGTCATTTAGCATTTTCCCTTAAGAACATTAACCAGAATATCTTACTAACCTGCTTATGCTACATTGTAATCTGTATGGGGTAAGGAAATGAACATTTAATAAGTTTGCCTGGGAGAGGTAACCCATAACTGTGGCTCCCCTCCTGCCAAAGGTTTGAACTATAATGCCAAGGTGAGACTCCATTTGTATATACACTTACTGCATACTACATATGTGTGTGATATATAAACATGCATTTTAAATTATGTGAGTCTAGCATATACTTAAGTTTTAGATTGTAAAACATGGGTAAATTATATTGGAAGCATCTGCTACCAAAGGGCAGAACTGATAGAATAGAGAGCCAAATAGGAAAAGGTTAAGAGTGGCCTTTGTGAACACTAAATTTGAATTTGGTTTGAGTAGGATTATTCAATATATATAAATGCTACGATTAGTTATAGTAGAATCAACCTGCTTCACCTTTGCCTATGTAGATCAAAGTACAAACGACTCATTCTAGTTTTCTGTTAAAAAAATCTTACATAGGTCTTGTTTTCCCCTTAGCAAATGCATATTTGCAGCATCTTACACCGTACTCCTAGCCCCAGAATTCATCAGGTAAAAACAACTTCCACTGTGAGCAGAGTAAAGTAAGACTAGCCAAATTGAAAACTAAGGGGGCTGAGGCATGATGGGCAATTCTGAGACTATACAGAACCTAACTACAATTCACAACATATAGCAAGGAGTAGTTTGACTTCCATGTGGGTCTAGTCCAGTTTCAAATATCTATAACCCTAGTTGGAGACCAAGACCTTTTATTAAGGGGAAAGGGTGTCCTGAAGGAATGCTGCAGTTTTTCCACCCCCATTCCAGTTCCTTCAGAACATCTTGGTTCCCCTAACACTTTTTAAGTTACTTGGGCAATAGGTAAATAGGTGGGTGGTCAGCACAGCTGGTGTCATTGACTAGGCGGTTATGGTCCTGTACTTGGGAGTCTGGCAGGATGTGCAGGGCAGTGTCCATTGCACTGGAAGATGTTGAAGCATGATAAGGGATTTAGCTCTTTACACATAAGTAGCACTGTGGGGCATTGAAAGTAACGGCCCCTAAAGCTCTAGAAGGTAGAGAAAAGCCTGCCAAATTTATATTTATCGAAGTCAGGTGTGTCAAGGTGGAATTTTTGTAAAAGTAGTTGGAAGAAAAACAATGACAACTGTCCTTACCCCTTACCGGTGGAACTTTAAAAGTTCTAGCCAAATAACTACTGCTCTTGTATTTAGTGAGGTTTGTTGAATGTGACCTAAATGTTAGGGACAATATGCTTTGTTGAAAAGATCATGATTTGAGGTGGAAGAGATCTTGGTTTGAATTCTGGATCTAATGTATAGTGACTGTCCATGAGCCCTGTTTAAGGATGATGTACTCAAAAGACTGATTACTAAGTGAGCCAGTGTATGCAAAACATACCCATATTGGGCTCAACAACAGCTAATCTTAACATGAGCATTGGAAATGGGAGGCAAATACTGCTCTTCTTTTCTATACCATTATTAGAAACTAGTCATGTATAATTTAAAAAATGATTTTTTTTTTTTTTTTTGACAAGCTTTTAGTCTTAGCACAGGAAAAGTAGGAGTGCTGACTTACGGTTTATAGAGTATCCTGTGTTGTTTTCCCATTCACCTTTGACCAGAGGATGAGGGAATAGTTGTGAAAGTGTAGCGGGTGAGGGAGGACATGGTGAGCCAGAGTTTGCCAGAGTGAAGGTCAGTGGCCAAGGGAAAGGCCTAGACTACACTGGCTGGGCTTTTGCACCCCCAGTGGTGTCCCTCGGGATTGCTGTCTGCCCAGATGAAGAGTTGTTTGCTGATAAAGCACTGGGTGAGCAATGTTTTAATTAGGAAGAAATTAAAGCATACAAGCATCAAATTTTAGTGTAGACACCTGTGTACTCATTGCCTAGATTTTTGCCATTACACCTGATGATGCTAATTGTTTTATCACATCATTCCATTCATTAATGAAATTAAACACATTTCAGGTAAACTGCAGCTATCAGTACTAAGTACTTCAGCCTATCCACTATAGTTCAGCCATTTTCAGTCTTTTAATACAAAATTTACAGAAAGTATTTTAGGTTTAATGCCCAGCCTGGATATGTCAAACACCTGTTAAGATGTTTAACATTGTCATCGCTCCAGAAATGTCCCTCAGTCTGCCTCCCTATGAACCCAGTGTCAATAACTCATTAAAAAAAAAAAAAAATTAGCTTAACTGAAAGAAAAAGTTGTGTATATGCCAAGACCATCTCTAGATCTGACTGAGTTATGTAACGCCAAAGCCATGCTAGTGCACACCCCCAGTACGGCTCCCTTACACAAATCATAAATGTAGTTCCAAGACCTCGGTAGTTTTTATTCTGGCTTGTTTTAGTTTACCACCATCTCTACATTAAATGTTTTCCCTTCCAGATTTATACCTGGTAGGCTAGCCCCTTAGGGTAGAAAGAGTGAAGCTAAGCAGGAGCAATTGATTTCCTGGGACTGTGGCTGGAAGGAGTTGGCTATAGGGTCATACCAGTACTAGGGATTTGAAATTGATATTCTCAGTGTGAAAGGTCCTTCCAGGCAAAGACCTCACTACACTCATTTTACAGGGAAACATCCTTAAATTAAACAAAGAAAATACAATTGTGTGTTCTTAGCCAGTGCATGCACACACACACAATCACTGCCAACAAAGCCAATTTTGCATTAATATTTTTGATATTTCCCTCATCTCCCAATTTGATGCTTACAGGACTTCTGCACTACTATAATGATCTCATTCTACTAAACAGCTCTGCTAGGGACGTTTTGTCTTCATTTTATAGAATAATGTTGAGGAGTGAGTAATTTGAGATCACCCAACCAGGAGATGTCAACCTTTCTTATGCCAAAGCTTACACTACTGATGACTATGAACCCCCAGGTTCCTGCCAACTCATGGGCCAGTGCTAGTTGAGTTACCTTTAAAACCTTAAAGTTACCTTTTAAGTAGATTCAGTGCTCAGAGAATTGGAGAACAGGAGTACAGAAATGGAGTTCACTTTTTTTTTTTTTAAAGATTTATTTATTTGTACATACAGAACTGGGGTACAGGCCAGAGGCTCAGGGGCGGTGAGAGGATTCACCAGAGACAGTGGGGAGCAGAACAGGCAGATGATGAAGTACACTGCTGAGGGGAGCAGCGGGCGGGTCAGGAGAGGTCTGCCACGCCATGTGGTCACCTCCTGGGCAGGCGGAAATCGAACTCATGTGGAAGTGGCTTTAGCTTCTCAGTGCAGTGCTTTAACCCGCTGCGCCACCAGGGAGGGCAAATGGAGTTCACTTTTTACCTGGGGTTAGTCATACCTTAAGCATGAATCTACATGCTTAAGGATATAGATTAATTAAATTTAGACTGCATTAAACATGGGATGTTGATGGGAAAATGGGTAATTGGATAATCCCTATACACATCAGACATGAATAAAT